GACAAAAATCAGAAAATGATGCAGATAAGAATGATAAGAATGCCCAACTTGTAAAGTTGCATGAAGAGCTTGCTGCTATTTTCAGAAAATGGCAAGATAAAAAAGATAAGGATATTTATAATTTTAGATTAGCCTTATGACAATTAGCCCAAATGGAAAAAAAAAGAATTTCAAGAATTGAATCAGCCCTACAAAAAATCCAAATAGTACTAAATACGAAAATTTGAAAACAAAATAAGTATTAGATTTTTTTTTTTTATAAATGCATATATTTAATTTACTAACACTAATTAGAAATAGCAAAATATATATTTATTGTTTGTATTTTGAAATTTTTTTGTCAATAGAAAGTTTGTATTTTAAATAATAAATAAAATTCATTGATTGCAGTTTGAAATTTTGTCAATAGAAAATTTGTAACTCTAAAAAATCATTTTTAAATTAATAAAAATATTGAATAAAAATTTTTACAAGAGCTTTTTGCTTAATTAGTTTGAGTAATTAACACATTGAATTACTTTTTTTCAAAAATTTTTTTTTGAATTTTGTCCAATGGAAAATGTATAACATATGCCCAATCAGAACTTGAAGGAAAATTAGATCTACTGTATTTATGATTAATTATAATTGTTTAATTATTTAATAAATTACCAGAGCATATATGAAGTTTAATCCTGTGAATAATTCTGTTTGCTTTAATGACTTTTCAAGAAAACATATATATATATGATTATTTATAATCATTTAATTATTTATTCAATAAATTACCAGAGTATATATGAAATAAGTATAAAAATTTAATTCTGTTTGCTTTAATTATTATTTTCAAAAATATATATATAATCATTTAATCATTCAATAAATTAACAAAGCATATATGAAGTTTAATTTTGTGAGTATAAAATTTAATTTTGTTCACTTTAATGATTATTTTTAAGAGAACATATGTATAATTAATCATAATTGTTTAATTGTTTAATAAATTACCAAGAGCATATACAAAGTTTAATTCTGTGAGTATGAAATTTAATTCTGTTTGCTTTAATAATTGTTTTTAAGAGTATTTTGTGTTTGATTTTTTTTATTCATTTTTTTGATATCTAATTTTTTTTACAACTTACTTTCATTATAGTGAAGTTCCTAGAGTAAGAAAAAAAACCTTCACTTTAACTTTATCAAGAGAATACTTCACTATGTCAAATTGAAGTTTAATAAGTTTGGAATTTAAAAATTCTTCACAATATTAAATCTTCACTATAATAAGAGTTTTTTATAATGAAAATGAGTTGTATTTATTATTTTTTTATTGTCTTTTTTGTATTTTAATTATTTTTTGTACATATTTTTTCATATTTAAAGTTTTTTTAATTTTAATTTTTTTTTTAGATTTAATTTTTTTTTAATTGTTCAATAGATTACCAGAGTGTGTACAAAGTTTAATTTTGTAAGTATAGATTTTAATTCTATTTGCTTTAATGACTGTTTTCAAGTAAATATATAGGCTTGGTGCTAAGAAAAGAGCGAAAATTGACAAAAAAAAAGATCATCAGAAAATTAATTTTTATGTTGTAAATCTTATGATAAATAATAAGAAAATACTGCAAAATTTTATTAATACAACTACTTATGTGTCTTAAGTGAAGAAAGATCCTAATTTTATTTTAAATTAATTTATTTGAAAAAACATCTTTTTAAAAAATTGTTAATTTCTGCTCTTTTCTCAGCACCAAGCTCATATATATAATTAATTGTAATCATTAAATTGTTCAATAAATTACTAGAGTGTATACAAAGTTTAAATTTGTTTGCTTTAATAGTTGGTTTCAAGAGAATATATTTGAATGAAGTTTAATAATTTTGAAATATATAAATTCTTCGCAATATCGAATCTTCACTATAATAAGAATTTTCTATAATGAAAATGAGCTGTATTTATTAATTTTTTTTTATTGACTTTTTTGTATTTTAATACTTATTTTTTTTTTATATTTAAAGTTTTTTTAGTTTTAATTTTTTTTTTTATATTTAATTAATTTTTTTTACATTTAAATTAATTTTTTCACCTTCAAATTGATTTTTTTTGTACTCAATTAAATTTTATTTTTTTCATGTTTAAATTATTTTTGTTTACAAAAAAAATGTACATGGAATGATTTTTAAGTTTGCATGAGTCTCTAATTTACAAGAAAATTAAAAAAATTTGTTGAACTTAATCAAAGTTTGCATTAATCTCTAAATTCTAAAAAAAAATATTCGAACAAAAATATTTAAAATGCATTTTTTTCTCGAGTATGATTTACTTTATCCAGTTAAAGATAGTATATCATGCATCCAATCAGAACTTGGGATAAATTAGGGCTCAAAATTTATAATTCTAATATAACTCTATAATATAATTTGTATTATCAAAAAAATAGTAACTTCTGTAATAAAATCTTTTTCAACCGTGCTGGAGGCACGGGCGGCATGCTAGTTAGTTATACAATATTAAAATTTTCATAATACACAGGAATAAAATATAGTATAGGTGACATCTATTTTAAATCAGGTGATTATTTATTAAGGTATCACCTTTATATATTTTATCCTAATACAAATCTATTTATTTTTCTAATTGTTATATAAATAAATAAATGGCATACAAATTAAAGTTATATAAATAATTAAATACAAATTAATTATTTTTATTTACGTATATACAGATCTTATACTTTTAAAAAGGTTAATTTTTTTAAATGTTAAAGGAGAGAGGACACCTATTTTTACAATGTGCATAGATTATTAATTATATGATTTTTTAGGTTTACTAAAATGCATCATAGGTGTTAAACACTATATTAAAAATTAATAAGTAATTAATGCTTGCTAATTAAAATTTGGATTATTATTCTAACTCTTTATAATAAAATTAGACACCATGGGTGCAATTATATTATTGCTTCTTTTTTTTTAATATATATGCAAAAATATCTTAACAATGACTATATCTAATTAAACTTGATAAAAAAATTTAGAATATTTTAAAATGCTATAGTACTAAATGCTACCTTATATATAATTAGTGTATATTAAACTTTTTAATAATCTATTTTTATACAAATATTCCAAATTTTGTTATACTTTATTTTTAATTCTCTAAGCTAAAATAAAAGTATGCTGCATGTTAGTTGTTATATATTTACTGTTTTGTAAAATTTTTTAATAATACTTTAAAAATTATCTAAATAAGACCAATTATAGTCTTTATAAATACAGTATTAAAAAAAATTATATATAACAATCATAAAATACTTTATAATTATTATACCCAAATTTTTTTATAACTAAAGTTGATTAAAACTTTTTGTAACCAACTATACAAACTAATTTTTATAATAATATTAAAAAGATAAGATAACTCAAAATATTTAGATTAATAATATATTTTATAGCTATTGTAAAAACTTATATTCTTTATTTAAATTATTTTGAATATGTTATACTATAGTAATAGAGTTTTCATATGATACAAATCTTTGGATATTACTATAGCCAATTATAGTAAAGATTTTTATAAAAAATTTTATAAGTTTTACTTTTATTTATTATTTTTATATATATATAGGAGTAGTCAATAAAAAAGAAACAATCATTTTTAGTAAAATTTTTTAATTTTTAAACTAAAATATCTCACCAACTATTTAGTATTAAATTTTTAATATAATTGTTAAAATATTTAAGCTTAAAGTCAAGAAAACTTTTACTTAGAAAAAATTTGCCCTTTTTCTATTGACTTCTCTCTATATTAATATACTAAAATATATAGTTTAAAAAATAATATTTTAGTACTATAGTGCTATAGTATTATAAAATAATTTTTTAAAATCTTATAAAAGTATAAAGAAAATATTATTATAATATTACTTTTTCTTAATCAATTATGCTTTGCTAACAATAGTATACTACTTGATTGACCCTACCTTTCTTCTAGATTACTTTATATTCCCAAAGAGAAAAAGCCCATCTGGTTTTTCTATCTAGAAAACATTATTCTGTCACACCCCTTTTTCGTACTATCACTTCTTTCTTTCAACCTACTAGACTTGATTCATTTGCCTATCAAACCAATTTAATTAATAAATCTTATAAGTGTTGAGGCTTGTTTCTCATAATAAAAATATTATTATTGGCCAAGTTTGCAAAGTTTTTGTCAATCCAATTAAATATTTATTACTCATTAGCAACATGATATTGTCGTAATGCGGATAAAGATTAGAAGGATATGGTGAAGGGTTGAGAGCATTGATAGTAGCGATGGGCAAATCACAGTTTCTTCAAAAATTCCGTGCGGAATAGGATCACAACTCTGTATTTCTTCAGTTAATTTTTGTGTCCGATAAAAAATCATGAAAAAAAAATTATTATTGAAAATCAAATTTTTTCTACCGTAAATTTTCGAAATATGGCATGGGCATTGTTTCGAATTTTGGCCCGAATTAAGCTTAATTCGGGCCAAAATTCAAAATACGACTATTTCGAGAATTTACGGTAAATATGTTAATGCAGGCCAGATATTATATTAATGCCGGCCAGATGATATGGTAATGCCAGCCAGATAATCTTATCAGGGATCTCTTGCTGTGCCCATCTCTAATTGATAAATATTTTTATAGTTAGTTTTAAGAAAGTTAACAATGGGACACTTCAAGAAAATGATCAGTGATCATCTTATCATGTGAAATCATGAAATGACTTTATTTGTATATTACAACACGGAATGCTTACTGCCTTTACGCATTCAAGATAACATATTTGTTTTTTTCTTTGTTATACTTTAAATTTGATTTCAGGGGATTCAAGTTCAATTTAATACAAGTTTAAGCGTAGTTTTTAGCTGTCAGTGATTTATGGTTCGTGAAATAATATGTACTATTTGACTAGAACTTTTAAACTTCCGCTTAATAAAATTTTATTCACTAAGTGAAGTATATTTATGGATTTCATATTACGAATAAAGCTAATCAATCAGACAGGCCTGATACCAATTTTTCTAATAAATTTTGAACATCGTGGGTATCTTCAAGGAAAAACGTAGCATTTGTTTGTTTTTTTCCAACCGTGCTTGTAAAACAATTCAAAGATTTAAATTCATCGTTTTTTAGTAGAGAAAATACAGGTTCATCTGGACTTTCGTCACCAATGCAAAGTACAAAGGAATCTTGTGTAATGTTTAAATCTTTAAGGATGGCTCGAACTACAGTTGATTGATCAACCAATGAAGATCGGATTTCTAATTTATTATCTCCCAAAATTATCTAAATAAAATTAATGATTAATGGAATAACTTAATGAATATGTTATACATCTGTCTGGAGTTGCTACTTCAGTTCATAGCTAAAGTTAGCCATGAAATTAGATCTTGTCTGCATTGGTCGTAATTCCAGGCAGGTGCAACTTAAACATGACAAATATATAACTACTGTAATAAAAATAATTCTTAAGATAGCAACCTACCTTTAAGGGCATATGACCTAATTTGCTTATCAAATTATCCTGTAAATCCAAAGTTTGCCATAATCCAAATTTATCAAACTCAGGGCCTGAACGATAGTGCCATATTATACCAATCTCTTTTTCTTCAATAGAAGCACCAGGAGTTCTTTCCACGTAATAATTAAATAAATGAAGAACTATTTCCTTTAACGCAGGATCAACTTGTTTAACAAGTCTATACCAACCATTATATTCTTCTATTATAGTCTTTCCTTCATGATTTAAAATCGGATTTACTTCCTCTTGTAAACATTTCGGATGTTTGTAAAAACAGCCATGTTCTGCAGATAAACCGACTCCAGTTGACTCAAACTGTTCATCAAGATTAACTCTACGATTACCAGACAGTATATAAACGTACGTATTTGACTTTTTTTGAAGTGCTTTAAGAGTAGAAATTATATTATTTGATGACTCTGCTGATTTACGAATAGTGATTAAGGTTCTATCATAATCTAATAGGATAATTCTCTTATTAGCAGTATTTGCAGCTTTTACGACTTGATTTATTTCCAAATGTGGGATCGCAATTTGAGAACTATACCCCTTAATACACTATAATAAAATAAAGGCTCGAATAAGTTAAATAATAGTAGATATATTTATATAACTTGATCACCTTTAATACCTTTAATTCATCAATAAAACTTTTTCCCCAAAATGAGATAGTATGATTCATAACATAATGATGTAGTTTTTGATAATTTGATTTACGTAAGTTTTCATCCATTGTAAGAGCTTCATAAATAGCATCAGAAAATTCATATGTATTCCAAGGATTTACTAAAATAGGACCTTTAAGAAGTATTTAACTTATATTAATATAAAATAATATCAAAAATGAAAGTATGGTAAGATTATATTTACCATCCAAACACTGAGCAGCACCAGTAAATTCACTAAGAATCAACACTCCATTATTTTTTTGCTGACATGAAATGTATTGATGAGGTAAAATATTCATACCATCTCTTAATGATGTTACCATGAATACATCTGACACAGTATATAGTGCTAATAACTCTTCGAAAGAATGTTTATAATGCATGAAGTGAATAGGTGATAAGTTAAAATTACCAAACTTGCCATTAATTTTTCCAGCCAGTTCATTGACAACACGATATAAATTATCGCGCTCTTCAGTATACCAGCGAGAAGACTTAACTACATGAATAAATACAACTTTGCCAATCCATTCAGGATGTTTAGTAAAGAATAAATCCAATGCGTGTAACTTTTGTGGAACACCTTTAATATAATCCAATTGATCTATACTTGAAATAATTTTAATATCTTTATATTTTTCTTTCAAGTTTTTAATATGTCTTTGAACTTCAATTTCATTTACTTCAATTTCATTTAAATTCTGTGATTTGGTTACGATGTGCAGAAAACAACAATATTTAGAACACGTGAATAAAAAAAAAAAACAGAAAAAAATTGACTACTGCTTCACAAACTAATGAACATTCAGATCTATATTATCATTGTGTGAATAAAAGGCACAATTAAATGTAATTTGAAAGTGAACAAACATTACAAATATCAATTGATCATTGTGACAGATTAAGATGAAAATGAAATTTTTGTTAAATAGACAGGCTACCGAAAAATACAAATTTAGGATACTTTTGTTTAACTTTTTTTTTTTTTAGAAGGTCAAATAGAATTCTCATATTTCGTTTAAATCCGATTTCACTTTAATCTGCGACAATAATTGTACCATATTTCTGATCTTCGCTATTAATAAAATAATAAAGACTAAACATACCCCATTGAATCTTTCCGGATCAATACCGATAGGAAATATGCCAACATGCACATGCCTATCTTCATAGTAAACTCTATTAGGTTTAGTTAATAAACCTAATATACTAGTGCATGAAGACAAAAAATGACGAGCATTGTCAAACGTTTGAAACCCAACCAGATCAGATTTAAGAATACTAGTCAAAATTTCTTCACGGACAGGAAGAATTCTATTTCATATTGTATTATCAAACTTTAATAATTTTCATCAAAATTACTTTATAATTAGTATAATTAATAAAAATTATAATACCTATAGATTTCACTACTTGGAAACGGCGTATGTAAGAAATAACCAATCTTCACATTTAAATTTCTATTACCAATTCTTTTTCTTAACATTTCCGGCAGGAGCATAAGATGATGACCATGTATCCATATTAAGTCGTCATCTTGAACTATTTCATCAATAGCATCTGCAAAAAGACCATTAACAATCTTATATGATTCCCAATCTTCTTGACGGAAAAACTTATTGGAAGGATTGCAATAGTGAAACAATGGCCATAGAGTCAAATTTGAGAAATTATCATGACGTTCAATTAAAGAATTTTCAATAAAAACGGGATTATACGAGAATTCTTTTAGCTGCGCAGCAATCTTATCTCTTTCTTCAGGTACACTTCCACCTAAATGAAAATAAGAAGCAAATTTTATTTAGAGATTATATAATTTTCAGATGAATGAACAAAATAAGTAATTTATTCAAATTGTTTATAGCTGTTATAGGTATAATATGACAAATGCGGCCAGTTCTGATCTAAAATTGAAAATTTTGACCTTTTTTGACAGAATTGAGCATTTAACTTATAAATACAGTCAACTATCGATATAATGAAAATGTATATAATGGATAATGAATTTTAAATTCAAACATTTATTATAATGCATTTTAATTGTAGTATACCTAATTTTTATTGATAGACTCAAAATTTCGTTATATCAATAATCGATTGTATTTTTCGTTAATGTTACAGCTGGTTTCTTAAATTCTGGGACACCTAAAAATTTTCTCGTTTCCGGAATCTTTTCGGTTTCGTCCGGTAAATTAACTAGCTCTCTGGAAACTACATCGCTATTTTCGAACCTTCAGTCCGGAGACAGTGATTTAGTTTCCGGAGAATTAGATAATTTACCGGACGAAACCGAAAAGATTCCAGGAAGCGAGAAAATTTTGAAAACAGCTGTAATGTAACGGTCGGTTATTTTCGGCTAGCCGAAAATAGCCGGCTGTTCCGATCCCTACACGTGCATAAACTAAGTTTAGAAAACACATCACATGCCACTCTGAATATAATGACTTCATAATAAGATCTTTCTACGTATATTGATCAAAATTTTAATATATAACTCATTGTGTCGACATTTTGAATTTTTTTTGCTAATGAAAAAAATTGTCGATATATCCAGAGTAATGTGTATATAAAGCTTGGGCAATATTTCTAAAAACTGACTTAAGAACTATCTTTTACAAGCATTGCTATAACACTGACAGACATTTGAGAATTGAACATACATTTCACAATGTCAAATGCAATTAAAATTGTCTCTCAATGTTCGATAAACAAAATCTATAAAATTTGAAATAAACTAATGATATACAGTAAACTCTCTTTATAACGAACCTCTATAACGAATTCTGGAAATAATGAACCAAAAGTTTATGAATTTCATGTTAGTTCGATATAAAAAAGAGGTGTGGTCTATACTTGCTGGCAAAACACGGACAAATCCCAAATTCAAAAAAAAACAATTGCTATTTGTAAAAGATTAAATCAAAAAAGTAATCTTAAAATTTTGCAAATATATTATTTACAACAATAAGAATATCTA